ACCTCCCATGCTCGTGCAATCATCTGACCCTCCCACCCACCATTTTGCTGGCAAAACTGATAATGTCGCGACTGCAGTTGCAGCGTGGAGCTCGTCACTGCTGACTTGCTCAAGTTGAAGCTGTCCTCTCCACTGCTCGTGCAAACATCACACCCTCCCACCCGCAACTTGGTCGCAAAACCTCGTGAGACGGTGACGGTGGGTACCAAATTGCACTTGGCAGCGACACCGACGCCGAAGACAGCGACAACGACGACGACGACGCCGCCGACAGCGATTACGACGACACCGACGACGTCTCCAAAGACTTCGACGACGACGACAACGACGACGAGAACACCGACGACGACGACGACGCCGACGCTGACGACGACGACGATGACAACGCCGACGACGACGCCGCCGCCGACGACGACGACGACGACGACGGCCATGACGACGACGGCGACGACGAAGACGACGACGACGCCGCCAACGACGACGACGACGACGAGGGAGGAGGGAGGACGACGACGGCGACGACGACAACGACGAGGGAGGAGGGAAGACGACGACGACGACGACGACGACGACGACGACGGCGACGAAATAGGAGGGACAACGACGAAACGCCGACGAAGACGACGAGGGAGGAAGGACGACCACGGCGACAACGACGACGGAAACGACGACGACGCCAAGACGACGACGACGACGGCGACGACGGGAAAAACAAAGGACGACGACGGCGACGACGACGACGACGAGGGAGGAGGGAGGACGAAAATGACGACGACGACGACGACGCAAGAGCGCGCGCGCACGCTTTTGTTGAAAATCCGTGTTGCGAAACTTTGCGTTTTTGTATGTTTCTTGGACACACGATTTTGAAATCTTTCCGTAACCGAAGGTTTGTGAAGGATTTCGACATGCGCGCGCGATGGCGCGCGAGTCTACACTTCGTCCCATTTGTTGCCGAGGATTCTCGCGACGGCACGCGCGCAAGGGCGTTCGAAAGATTTCGACACGCGCGCGCGAAACCCGTGTGTTAGCATTTTTTGAACATCTTGAAAGCCCATGGTGTCCTTGAGATTTCGCAGGAGCGCGCGCGTAAGCTTTGTTAGAACATCAGCGTTGCGAAACCCGGTGTTTTCTCCATGCTTTTGGGGAACTCGGTTTTGAAATATTTCCGAAACCGAAGGTTCTTGAAGGATTTCGGCATTCGCGCGCGACGACGCGCGCGTGTGCACCCCGTCCCATTTGCTGCATGAGATTATTGAAAACTTATGACTTCTGATAAACGAGAGCCCGCGCAGAGTATTCGTTGCAGCGGATGGCGGGGGCGAGTGATGCCGGTTTGGCTGGGGGTAGAATGAACTCATATCTCGGATGGACGAGTGTGTAGAATAAATTTGAAGTCGCAATACCACTGGAGTGATCGTTGACTCCGGGGGGGTAGAGTCTGTTCTTCTTGTATAAATAGGAGAACTAATTTTTGTTCGCGCTGAGTTGTCCATTCCGCCGCTCGCGCAATCACCCCACCCGCGCAACCGCAACTTTGTTTGCAAAGCCCACTCGGCGGTGATTGTGATGAGTGCTTGTTGGAGTTGGCTGGTGCATCTGCGGCCGCGCTAGCCCGCGCGTGCTCGCGCGCGCAACGGCCAGATAGTTTGGCGCTGCCGCCGCGAACGCGGTGGCGCTGACCGCTGGGCCTTCTCCTGCCCAGTGGACACTTCAGTGCGAGTCGGCGGCTCGGGCGCCTACAAAGGTAGACGCGACGATGATGGTAGCGATGCTGGTGATGATGATGATGATGATGATGATGACAAAGACGACGGCAGGGCCAGTGACGGCGCCGATGCTGATCACGCCGACGACGATGACGGCGCCCTCGCGTCGGCGATGAAGGTTTTGGAGGGAGTGCGACATGCGCGCGCGGCCGACGCGCCGAATTGGCCGCGTGCTATTATTTGACACGGATCGTTCCGCCCCCCCCCGCCCCAGCACGCGCGCAAGGGCGGTCGAATGATTCCAACGTGCGGTGCGAGGGGCCCGTTTGGCCGAAAGTAATGAACATGTTGAAACACTTCTGGATGTCGCACGACTTCGCCGGAGCGCGGGCGCAGGTTTTAGGTTGAACATGTTTGTTGCAAAACCGTTTGCTGTTACGTAAAACATGTTTTCGGGATTGAACTTGAAATCCGTACGAAACCGAAGGTTTTTGAATAATGCCGGCATGCGCGCGACGACGCGCGCGTGCGCACCTCGTCCCTTTTGCTGAAATAGGGTTTTTGCGACAGCACGCGCGCAAGGGCGTTCTTCTGATTCCGACACGCGCGAACGAGAATCCGCTTGGTCGCATGTTATGAACATGTGGGAAGCCGATACATATATATATATATACATATAGATGTGTGTATATATATGTCTACATGTACATTTTCAAAGAAGAAAGAAGAGACGATTCTTGTTGCGAAGCCATGTTTTCCCAAATTATTTCGGGACCGTCGTTTTTGTAATCCGTACGAAACCTACGGTTTTTTAAGGATTTCTGCATGCGCTCGCGGCGGCGCGCGCGCGCTTTCACTTCGTTTTTTTCCTTCAGCAGGGGATTCTTGAACTCTGACGAGTTTTGATACACGAGTGTGCGCACATTTGTTGTCTGGGGAATTCAGAGGATGCAGGGGAGGGAAGCGAGATTCACTGGGACGCTGCGAGCTCATATCTCGGATGGGCGATGGGGCAGATTCGTATGTCAACTGCAATGCGAGAGGGGGGCCCGTGCAGTCCGAGGGGGTGTTGGGGGGTCGATCCTAACTTTTTCTTAGAATAGGAGAACCTACGTGCTGCAAACCCCAGGTCGTGTGAACCAGTCGGCGACGGGGCGGCGACGGCGAGCACGGAGCCGCCAGACCGACACCCAGACCCAGATGGCGGGCGGCGACGAAACGGCGACGGGGCGGCGACGGCGAGCACGGAACCGCCAGACTGACACCCAGGCCCAGACGGCGGGCGGGCGACGAGGCGGCGACGATGCGGCGACGGCGCCGCCAGACCGACACCAAGGCCCGGTTCTTCAAAGTAAGAAGCCCTAGCTGCAAGCAATGTTTGGAGAATTAAAAGTTGCGTTTGGGTGTTCGCAGGTCTTCTGCCCGCGCGCACGTGCTAAAATCTTACGAAGACCAGATACGATTCGGCAGATTCGTCCAGAACCCGCATTCTCATCCCACCACTTGATTCATCAGCGCGCCGCCACCCGTGCGCGTTGAAATCTTAACACCATCATATGGCTTTCGAAGCGTTTCAAAACAGCTTTTCAACCACATGGAAAACAACGCGTCTATCAACCAAAAGCGCGTGGCTTCTTTGAGCTCTGCGCGAGCGCAATTCCTCGCAAGTTCCGCCACCATTTGTCAATCACCCTCGTTACCGACATCGGGAAATCATCATTGTCGTCGTCGCCGCAAGCATAGGCGCCGTCATTGGCTTTACCGCCGTCGTTGTCGTCCTCGCCATCACCACCCCTGTTATCACCATCGTTGTCGCCGATGCCGGCGTCATCATGACACCGCGCCCGCCCGAGTCACCGACCCGTCCTGAAGTGCCCGAGCGCCAGCGCGGCCTCTGAGACGCGCTGGGAAGTTCCCATCGGTAAGCGCCATCCCAGACCCCCGACGTCGTGATTTTTTCACACCGTCGACCCCCAGAGGTCTGGACCCCTTCCCCGGGACCGGCTTGTCGTCCCGAGTCGTTTTTGACGCTCCCGAGGCCCGGGAAGGGCCTCCAGAGAGCGAAAATAGCGCAAAACCTCCCGTCGTGATTTTTTCACGACGCGAGGAGGTCTGGGATCGGTAAGCGCCATATAGCGCCATCGCGGCCGCATCATTTGCGCCACACCGGCGGGCCGCTCTGCGCGCGAGCACGTGCGCGCCAGCGCGGCCGCAGAGATGCGCCAGCCAGCGCCCAGCACATCCGCAACCGTGGCCGCGCAGCTTTCGCAAGACAGCCTGCGGGTGGGAGGGCGAGTGATCTGCGCGAGCGTTGGAGTTCACAACTCCCAGTTCGAAAAGATGATCGGACCGCGTGGCTCACACCGCATACAGTCGGGGCCCTGAAGCAGGAACCCCTTTTCGTTGGGGAGGGGCTCCGCGTTCCTTAAGTGTTTCACAGCTTGTCTCGGGTTTTCCTATGTTTTCGATAGGAAATCGAGGTTTAACTTATGGAAAAAAGGGGCCTCGTTCCTTATTTGGGGTTCCTTAGGTCAACGCCCCGACTGTAGCTTACACCATCTGGCTTGCACCGCAGCTAGCACCACGCAGACTGCAGCACGCAGACTGCACGACATAGCTTGCGCCACACAGCACCGCTTGCACCGCCTGGCTCGCGCCGCGGGCGTAGCTTACTGCACCTGCGGCTGGCATCGCGTACACTCTCCCTCGGAAAGCATACCCCCCTCGCCCTCCCCAGCCCAGATTCAACAGATCGACTTGGGGTGTTTGCTGAACCAGCTGTGGGCGGGAGGGTGGGATGTTTGCGCGAGCAATGGAGTCGTCAATCCGTGAATGGCAGTTTCAGTTGCACCACGCAAGTTGCATCTTGCAGCTTGCACCACCTTGCACAACATAGCTTGCACCACGTAGCTTGCACCACGCAAATCGCACCATGTATATGGAACCGCGTAGCTTGCACCACGTATTTTGCACCACGCAAGCTCCACCACATGGTTGCACCACATAATTAGCTTGCACATCCACTATGTTGCAACCTTTTGCGTGGGCCCCACGTTGGCAAACAGTATGTGAATGTCCGTGTGTCTATACATACATGCATGGACAAAGCACGTTTGTATAAACCTAGAGACGTCGGATGGCAGGGCGCGTGGTAATACGATTGATGGGCACAGGGTGTGCCTTGGTCCCCGTTCTCCTCTTCGTGCCCGTCCTCGTCCTCCTTTTCTCCCTCCGCCTCTTCCTCGCCGCTGGCTTGCCATCTGGTGGTGTGCCCCCCTGCCCCCGCACCAGGTGTTCCACATGGAGGAGGAGAATTTTCTGCGACCCACTGCCTACATCATCTCAGGTGGTGGTGGTGGTATCACCTCAGAGAGCGAGCCGAGTGCGGACGGCGACGACGACCAGTATGGCTTCATGGACCTCACCCTGTCAAAGCACGAGATCCGGATCGAGGCCATCTCCCACGGAGGGCAAATGCGCAGCCAAGTGTGCGTGCCACAGCGGCCGCGGCGAGGGCTGCCTTTTGAGCCGGCCGTTCACCCGTCTTTGTGCGACCCGACCACGACGACCACATCGACCACAAGAACAACCAGCACCAGCACGTCGACCACAGCGCGGCCCACCTCCTCCGAGACCACGACAGCAGCAGCAGAGGCGACAGGCGCCGCATCAACCACTACAAGCGGAACGACGACGGTAGAGGGCTCCCCCAGGGCACATGCGAATGTGGCCGACCCTCCAGACAGCGAGGAGGGCCCCAACGTGGAAGTCCGCATGGTCATGGGCAATCTGATCTTTACCGGCTTGACTGCGAGGCAGCCGCTGCTGGCCTTGGTGGAGGGCGCGCTCCGGTCTGCGATAGCGGCCGCAGCCGGCCATGGCACACGTGCCGAGTCGGTGAGGCTGCGGCTGCTACCAGGGTCTGTGGTGGTGCAGGCAGCCATCGCCCCGCCGAGCGGCGTCGCTGGCAGAGCGCTGCGTGAGCACCTCGCCAGGGGCCTCGACGACTTGAGGAGCAGCGCCGCCGCGCTGGTGTCGGGGGTCAGCGGCATCGAGGACGTGTGCGTCGGGAAGCTGTACGTCGAGGCCTTGTCCGTGCTCCCGGGGCGCAGCGGCGACGCCCCGCCGGACATCGTGCTGCGGCTGCTGGACCTCGACAGGGGGTCCCCCAGCCCACAGTTCTGGCGCGGCGCTGTGGCGGCCGTCGCGGGGCTGGCCCTGGCGCTGGCCGCCACCACTGCTGCCCGCTGCGCCGTGCCAGGCGCGGGAGCCCCCAAGCCCGACCACTGCGGCACCTACACGGTGCTCGACGGGTCGCGCGCGCACTGCGAGGTCCACGCCGGCGGGGCGGACCGTGCCCAGCAGGACGCAGTCGCCCTGGCGGAGCGCCTCCGTGGCCAGGCGTCCACCGCCGGCGGCCGCGACCGCGCGGCGTGCTGGCTGCAGGCGCTCACGGACAGCCTGCGCGGCCACCCCGACAGCCCAGGCGTCCAGGAGCACGGGTGCGGCGCGCTGCAGAACATCTGCCAGGGCGACGGCGACGCGGGGCAGGCCCGAAGGAGGCGGGCGGTGGCGGCAGGCGGCATCGAGCTGGCGGCCGCGGCGCTGCGCGGCCACGGGGGCGGCGCGGTGCGGGAGCAGGCCGCCGCCGCGCTGGCGCAGATCTGCGCCTCGCCGGGCCCAGAGGCCGCGCTGTGGAGGGCGCGGGCGGCGGGGGCCGGGGCCCTGGAGCTGCTCGTGGCGTCGCTGAGCACGCACCCGAAGGAGGAGGGGGTGCAGCGGCAGGCGTGCCGTGCACTGGGGAGCATCTGCGTCGGGGCCGACGAGGCGGGCATGGCGCGGAAGGAGCAGGCCGCGACGGCGGGCGCCCTCGGCGCCGTGGTCGCGGCGCTGAAGGACCACAGGCACAACCCAGAGGTCCAGGAGCAGGGCTGCGCCGCGCTGCGGAGCCTCTGCCTCGGCTCGAGCGCCGCGGGCGTGGCGCGGAAGGCCCAGGCGGCCGGGCTGGAGGCCCTGGAGGCGCTCGTGGTGGCGCTCCGCGCGCACCCGCTGCGCGCGGAGCTCCAGCAGCACGCCTGCGCCGCCCTCACCAACATCTGCGCCGGGTCGGACGAGCGCGCCGCCGAGCGGCGCGGGCGCGCCGCGGAGGTGGGGGCCATCGAGGCGGCAGGGCGCCCAAGCGGCGGCTGGGCGACCTCGGGGGCCGCTCTCGTTTTGCCGTTTCGCTCGTTGCGACGCCGTCGCGCGGCGCAGAGGGCGGAAGGAAGCCAGCACGAGGGAGAAGGGGAACAGCAACAACAAACAACAAAACGAGAGCGATGGCGAACTCGAAAGGGCGGAACGAAGCCCGCACGAGGGAGAAGGCAAACAACAAAAGCAAAACGAGAGCGAGAGCGACCACGAAAGGAGGCCGAACCCGCTTGGCTCGAGCCCCGCGAGGCGGTGGTGGCGAGTCTGCAGGCGCACGCGGCCTGCGCGGGCGTCGCCGAGCACGGCTGCCTGGCCCTCGGCAGCATCTGCGCGGGCGTGGACGGCGGGGCCCCGGCGCGCAGGCTCCGCGGCGCGCCAGGGGGGGCGGTCTGTGACGGGCCAGGTCTCCACCACCGCTGCCACAGACAGGGCGGAGGAGCAGGGAGGATGGGGAGGTCCTCCTCCTCCTCCTCCTCCTCCTCCTCCTCCTTTTGCTCCTCCTCCTCCTCCTCCTCCTTCTCCTCCTCCTCCTCCTCCTCCTTTTGCTCCTCCTCCTTTTGCTCCTCCTCCTCCTCCTCCTCCTCCTCCTCCTCCTCCGCCTCCTCCTCCTCCTCCCTCCCCCTCCTCCTCCCTCCTCCTCCTCCTCCTCCTCCTCCTCCTCCTCGTCCTCCTCCCTCTGCTCCTCCTCCTACTCCTCCTCCTCCTCCTCCTCCTTTTTGCTCCTCCTCCTTTTGCTCCTCCTCCTCCTCCTTTTGCTCCTCCTCCTCTTCCTCCTTCTCCTCCTTCTCCTCCTCCTCCTCCTCCTCCTTCCCCTCCTCATCCTTCTCCTCCTCCTCCTCCTCGGACATGTGCCAAAAACGAGAAGTCACCCGCCTACGACCAATCATCGTCGTTCTTACCTGAGGCTGTCGCCAACTCGGACGCCTACCCGTGCTTTTGGATGCGGGGGCTCATCCCTGCTCTTTGGACCTCGGTCACTCCTCCTCCTAGTTCTGAGTCTTGGGACGGCAACGACCTGCTCAATGGAGGCTTGGTTGGGCCTGGGTGTCTCGGGGAAGGGACCCCACAGGACCCACTTGTTGTTTTCGGCGGCGCCTCGGGCGGAGCCGACACACACGATAGTAGATTGCGCAGGGTCGGATTGGCCATAGTGAGTTGTTGCCATTTTCTTCCTCTCTCTCTCTGGGGCCTCATATGCTAGGCCCTCTCACAGGAAGTAGTCCGACCGTACCTAGAGGTTAACTCCAAGCTTTTGAATGGGCTGTTTGGTTTTCCCTTGGTGAGCTCGTTTATGTCACAGATTGTGCTGAAGTGGCGCGGGGATGGTACGAGGGCCAGTGTCATGCGCCCTCAGGACCGCAGGCTGACCTCTGGAGGACCATCAAGAGGACCCTCGCCCGCCAGCAGCGTGACCCGTCTTTGATTTCAGTTGTGCAGGTCCCGTCACACCTTGACGGGAAAGCGGTCGCGGAAAAAGGGTGGCCACGCTGGTTGATTCGAGGCAACATTGTGGTAGATAATGCTAGCTAGCGAGGCAGCGATTCGAGCCCGTGTGCCTTTGGCAGATCGTGCGCGCATCGCGCGGGTCGAGGGCCAGGCTCGTCTCGTCAGGAAGCGCCTGTTGAGAGTTGGCTTGGACCCCATCGCGGCCGCTCGGGCCAGCCGCGACTGCGTCGAGGGTCCCAGGCCTGCTCCTCGCGTTCCTCCTCCCCCTCCTATTGCCGTTGCACGCCTCCTTCTCCTCGTCCTCCTTCCTCTGCTCCTCCTCCTCCTCCTCCTCCTCCTCCTCCTTCTCCCTTCCTCCTCCTCCTCCTCCTCCTCCTCCCTCTGCTCCTCCTCCTCCTCCTCCACCTCCTCCCTCTGCTTCGCGTCCGCACATGTCCTGACCCAAAATGGTGGGTCGTGCAGCGCGTGTAAAGGCTCGGCGTCCAAGGCGTGTATGTCCGACTGGTTAAAAAGCGAGTGCCTCCATCTCTCTGGTGTGGATGGTAGGTTGTCCCGTCTCCCCCGAGGGCGTAGGATGTATTCAGCTGGTGGCTGGGTCGACTCCTCACACGGTTTGTTATATCACAACCAATTGAAGATATGGTATTGCGGCTCTTGCGGCTTTTTCGGACAGGCCCAGCTCAGGGGCTTAGGCAAGCCGTGCATTCTACCTGTCTCCAAGACCCGACGAGAATATCTCGATCGGATTGCGAGGGATTTGTTTCCCAGCGTTGGCAGCTAAGTTCAACCCTTTTATCCCCAGGGGATGGCGGAAATCCTGCAAATCCTCCTCCTCCTCCTCCTCCTCCTCCTTTGCTCCTTTGCTCCTCCTCCTCCTCCTCCTCCTCCTCCTCCTCATCCTCCTCCTCCTACTTCTCCTCCTTTTGCTCCTCCTCCTCCTCCTCCTCCTCCTCCTCCTCCCTTCCTACTCCTCCTCCTCCTCCTCCTCCTCCTCCTCCTCCCTTCTCCTCCCTTCCTCCTCCTTCTCCTCCTCCTCCTCCCCCTCCTCCTCCTCCTCCTCCTCCTCCTCCTTCTCCCTTCCTCCTCCTCCTCCTCCCTCTGCTCCTCCTGCGACCTCTCCGAAGCGAGTCGTGATACCGACGCGCCAATGCCACTCACGCCACCACGCGCGTCAAAGAGGGACGGCGTGGGTGGCGCCTCCGGCTCGACCGAAACGCCGAGCAAGCGAGCGAAACTGTTGGGGGCCAGGCGGTGCCGTGGGGTCCCCGAGGAGGGGAGGGGCCCACGGACGGAGACCGCCTGGCGGGTGGCCCCGCACTGGGCACGCCGGCGCCGAGGAGGCGGGCGAGCCAGGAAGGGGGGCCAGAATCAGCACTCACCTGCACGAAGGATGTCGGCCGTGCGAAGCGGCTGGGCAAAAGCAGGTGCCAGTCTTTGTTCCAGGAACAGCGGGCGGGCGTGCGCGCCACATGGGCGAGCACCCCAAGGGCTCCCTCGAGGGCGCGAAGTTATTCGCGCTTCGCGCTTCGCGGTCCTCGTTCCTTCTCCCCCTCCTCCTCGTCCTCCTATTCTCCCTTTGGGAGGGCGGCGCGAGAGCGCGAAGTTATTCGCGCTTCGCGCAGCGCGAAGCGCGAAGTTGGGAGCCCTAGTCATTGGCCCCATGGGTACCTGGCACGGGGGGGCCCAGGCAGGCACCTTGGAGCCTGGCAGAGACCTTGGCCCCACCTAGGCCGCAACGCGCACAAGCAATCCTACACTTCCCTCCGCACTGGCTGGAAGGGGTGACTTACGTGGACACACTCACCCGCGATCTCTCCGCGGACGACGAGAGAGTCAGCACGAGAGAGGACCGAGGGGCTGGCGGTCGGAGGCGGCGGCAGCACACGCAAAGGGGGGGGGGCGGTCCTTCAGCACCGCCGCCTTCACGCGCAGACAGTCAACGTCGGCCAAAACGGGCCCTACCTGAGCAACCCAGTCGGCCCAGGACCGAATGACCTTCAATTTGGCGCCCCTGGAGTCCCGAACCTCTTGTGGGATCCTGGCGGCACGCGCAGTGTCCTTGGCCCAGGCATCGGCAGAGTGGTTGCCGAAAAGCTGGAAAAAAGGAGAGGCGGCCCTGTGGCACATGCTCATGAGTGGCGTGCGCAGGCACCTTGATGACACGAGCGTGCTCGAGACCATCCCAGTCGTGCACGCGCGCCCAAACCTGTCTCCACACATCGGCCCAGGCGCTGGATGCAGCGCAGCAAGCGTGCTCGCCACGCTCGTAGAGGCCACGCACAACAAAGCTGGAATCACTAAAGAAAACCGTGCCTGGCATAGCATGCTGAAGGCCTCGGAGCAGCGCGTGCAATTCGGCACAGTCAATGCCTCGATAGGGGTCTTCGAGGAGACCAACAAACACAGTGCGCGCCCGATGAGGATAGTCAAGACTGACAGAGACACAGGCCCACGCACAAGCTCGCGCGTGCGAGGGAAGATCAGCATCGTAAACACTGCCATCGAGGAACACGTTCTCACGTAAATCACGCGGGCCCCCTCCGATCCACCTGTTTGGCTGAAGGTCCGAGCTAGGAAGAGAAGCAGCAGGCACCAGCAACCTCTCCGCGAACAAGAGGGGGAGAGGATCCTTGGAAGCCCTCGCCAGACTGGTGATAAAATCGGGTGGCGAAAGATGTGGCACAAGCTCTTCTATCCCTGGGCAACAAGCATGCCGATGCAGCAACGTGCCAGGACCGTCAATACAAAACTTGCATTCTCCCGTGGGGGCCAACTTCGCAACCCATTGGCGATGCTGGGGCCGTTGGCCCCCACAGAGAAGCGAAACGAGATAACCCTTTTCCTGGGCAGTGCGGTGCTTGGAAGCTAAAACCTGACGGATAGGCCCTAAGAGGCAGCCATTGGCAATCTCGGCAATCCTTTCGCGCTCAGCAATTTTGCCCCAGAGAGTGGCTTCGACAGCACGGGCGAGCCAGGCACGCAGGGCCCGAGGACACAGAGGAGAGGTCGAGAGCACCAAGCCCAGGGACCCGCCACGAAAAGCCAGAAATCTCAAGGCCAATCCTCTGGGCGGTCGCGGCGCAAGCCGAAAGGGGGCCCCTAATGCTGGACCAGGGGTTACCATGACCCTCAAGACGCTCAACCTCAGCGACAATCCCTTGCTCCAGCATTCTTCGGGGAAGCCAATTGTCCCAGACTGCATAGGCACACGCCATGAGGGGGTCGAGGTTGAGGGAATAGAAGGGGTCCACAATAGGCCTGTGCGCAAGCATGAGCATGAGCGTGACGGACCGACCAGGCAAACGTTGACTCTGTACGTGCGCCTGCAACGTGCGCGCGGAGCGGAGATCGCCTCCGTTCGTGCCTAGCACGCTGCCTCCGTACCGAGTGGGGGAGAGCACAGCGGATTGCAACATGGTGTGAAGGAAACGGCGCTTCACAAGGCCTCGGGGCGACAACAACTTGTGACCACGGCGCAGAGCAGGCAGCTTGCGCGCACGCCGTGTGGCGCGTGGTCTCACCTTGCCAGCTCCAAAATCAATGCCTAGATTTCGCTCAACTCTGACAGCTTGCACACGATGACGCTTGAGCTTGTTCTCCAGACAGGCTCGGAGCGACGGCGTGGAGGCCACAATGCGACTCTCTTTGACGGCGACAGGCATCTGGATGGCAGCGAGCTCGCTGTGCAGGAGCGATGTGGCGCCTGCAAGCTCCATAGCGACGTCGGCCTCACGCCCAAGTCGCTGGAGCCCAAGATCGTCGACAACTGAGCCAATGCTGACATTGACGAAAGCTTCTTGAACCGTGTCGAAGGGAAGCACCACCATAATCTGCAGAATGAGGGTGGCGACATGGCACCCAGGCAACACAGCCTGCAGAGTGGACACAGGACAAGACACCGCATTCCGCAGGGACAGA